TCTCTTCCCTGGCATGGGCCCTCTCTTATTAGAAAAAATTCTAGGCGGCCCAGGATCTCCCAGGGACATTGGGGCGCGAATATGGGGGCTGATACACGGGGTGGATAACACTCAGGTTCTACAAGCTCGAGATCTACCGACGCAAATCAGCATTGAAGACTCATACGGTCGCTTAGACACTTTCAAAGAAGTCAGGAAAGAGCTGGTTGCTCTGACAGCCAGCTTGATCCGGCGCATGCGGGTTGATTTGACTGAGATGGACCCTGATGTCCATTCCCCAGCCGGCGAGCCCGCTGCAGCTGACGTTCTTAATGAAAAACGGCAGCTCCGATGGGTGGCTCACCCAAGAACTCTTCGTCTCTCGACGTGTCCTCGCCCAGCTCCAGGCTCCGATCGGCCAGAGCGCCATGGTCTCAACCGGATATCACGTTCCGCTCCTCTTCCATCCTACGTCTTCAACCTCGATGAGAACGTGGATGCTTTGGCAGAGCGACTTGTGCAAGACTTGGCGATGCCAATGTTCCGGAAGCTTCACCCTGAAAACACGGGTTGGAACCTCCGTGTTCTGAATATTGCCGTGACTAATATGATAGAGAGTGCTGGTGACCAGAAGAACAGCAGCGGTCGAGATATTGGGAAGATGTTCCGTAAACAGGAAGCGACGCAGCACGATGATCCTACGCCAGAGCTGGAGAAGATTACCTTCAGCGGCATCGCCCAGGGAGACATGGATTCGAAGACGGTTGATTCCGCCGGAGCCAACGATACCTGGGAGGAGAGCGACGAAGATGGCGATACGCCGTGTGTCGCCTGTACACTCTGCGGGACAATGATACCACATTTTGCCATGCTTGCTCATGAGACGTACCACACCGCTCCTGGTGATTGAGAACCTTGGGTTCGAGGCTGCGGTTATGTCCATGAGCTACCACATTTCTAAATTTGGATTATGTGATGGAACTTTTTATGATCACAATAGTAGCCTTGATGCCTATCCATTTTCTATTCTGTTCTGTATGTACACGGTGAGCATTCATCATCAACTCTGATAACCGGTCACCGCTATATGATCGGTCCAGCGTGAACCATATCAAACCCTCCGAGGTGAGATATGCTTTGCAGTAGCAGCGCTTCCTAGAATCTTCCGTTCTAACTCAATATGGTAAGATAGGCATACGTATGTTCGAATTAAAAAAGGCCCACAGGACATCCAGCCACAGGCGCCGACTGATCTTGGCAGTGATCATTTGCTCCTTGTTGTGGAGGAGGGTTGTCTTGGACGACGGAATGCACAACGGCCATTCGCCATCTTAATGCTCCATCAATAAGACTAACGATGTATTCCTGAATATTCTTACAGAAATGTATTCAGATGACGATTAATAAGCCTCTTTATTATCCTCCATGATTACTATCGATGACAAGGGCATAAATCCTCTCTCATCAAACAATTTCTTACAAGACCCTGAAGACCCTTTGCGTGAGAGTCGAGTGCATCAGGAATCTTCGCTCCACCTTTGCCGCGCTCCTCCGCAACCTACTCTCCTCCTGACCGTCAACCATCTCATCTTATCCTCCTACTGTGTATATGATCAGACCCCCACTCGTTTCTGCATAATTCAGTCATTCGCTTCTCCGGCCTTTCTTTCATCATCTTTGGTACCGCCAAGCCGCTGCGCCCCAGTAGAACGGATCTGCCTGGCGCCCAGCGACCGTCATCCCTATTAGTCTGATCCTAGTGGAGGCTTCTTGCCAGCCATTGTTCTTCAAAGGGTGAATTAAGTGTCTCTCGGAGTGTGAGAATCAATCAGTCGTCTTCTCGTCGGTACTGAATCGGTCGCTTTCTCCCTTTTCATAGACAACGAAAGATTCTTGCAGTGTGCCTATGTCTGTGTTGATGTTCTCGACCGATCCGACCAAGTCCTAAGACATTGTTTCATCTTACTTCCTCGGCCATTCTTTTATCTTGTTGCCTGATGCCAGTATTCATTCGGACCCCTTAAGAGATTGAAAGAATATAGGGAGAAGGTTACGTTCCACAGCCTGCTTGATTGGAGTCTAGGGGTTCCGTCCACTGGTCGACGGAGATGAGGTTTCTCAAAAGTGCTCTGCCATTTGTTGCGAGTGCATTTTCACTTCTATCGCTTCAGGTTGCAGGTTAGTCCGCATTACTTCTTCGACAGAGTTTTCATCGGAGATAGCTAACTTATCATCCAATGTCGTACAGCCCGATCGCAAGAACCTAGTGCCATCCAACATGTCTCGATACTTGAACATGCGGTAATCAACACACCCTCTCACGAGGTCGACCACCTTACAGATTTCGACGTCACATTCGAACTTCCAGATAAACATCAAACAATAAAATTAGAACTAGAACCCAACCATGATATCCTAGCCGATGATGCATACGTGCAGTACCTTGACGCGGAAGGAAACATTCATCGTGAAGAGCCCATCCAACGACATGAACACAAGGTTTTCAAAGGACGATCTCTGCTGAGGAGAGACAATGGTCTGTGGAAGCCCGTGGGATGGGCAAGGATTTATGTCCAACGGGACGGTTACCAACCCCTCTTCGAAGGAGTTTTCAGTGTCGATAATGACAACCATCACGTTGAACTCAAGTCAACTTACTTGCAGAAGAAGCGCGTCGAAGATGCCAGTATTCCCGACCGAAAGGACGAATATATGGTCGTCTACCGTGACTCCGATATGATTCGACAGGTCCGCAATGAGTTGAAGCGTTCTTTGATCAGCTCGTCGTCCTGCCAGGCCGACAAGCTCGGTTTCAACAGTGACCCGCAGCATCCGATCTTCCGCTCTGAGTTCCAAGACATGGACTCGGGTACCAGCAGCTATGGTTCCATGTCGCTGAATTCGTTGTTTGGCCTCAGCAAACGACAGTCGGATATTGGCGGTGTTTCAGGAAATGCGGGTGGTGTTAATCTGGCCCAAACCATCGGTAGCACATCCGGGTGTCCCAAGACCAAACAAGTGGCCTTGGTCGGCATTGCGGCAGATTGTTCATTCAGGGCTTCGTTTGACAACGACGACGCCGCCAAGCAATGGATCATTAACGTGGTCAACAGTGCCTCGGACGTCTATGAAAAGTCATTCAATATTTCCATCGGCCTGCGGAATCTCACCATAACCGACAAGACGTGTCCTGCGACTGCACCGGCTTCGACGCAATGGAACATGCCGTGTGATCAAAGCAACATCACTCAGCGACTCAACCTTTTCTCCCAGTGGCGTGGACAACAGAGCGATGGCAATGCCTATTGGACCCTCATGAGCAATTGCCCTACTGGCACCGAGGTGGGTTTGGCATGGCTGGGACAACTCTGCAATGCAGAAGTTACCGGTGATGGCAGCAACTCGGTATCTGGCGCCAATGTTGTCGTCCGCGTCTCTGGTGGTGGATGGCAGGTCTTTGCACATGAGTCGGGTCATACCTTTGGAGCAGTGCATGACTGCGACAGTATGACCTGCGCGCAGAACTTGGAGGCCTCCTCTCAATGCTGTCCGTACAGCAGCGGGGCATGCGATGCCAATGGAAAGTACATCATGAACCCGAGTACAGGAACGGATATCACCGCGTTCTCACCCTGCACAATTGGAAACATTTGCTCTGCGTTAGGCCGCAACAGCGTCAAGTCCAGCTGTCTATCTGATAATCGCAACGTCGTCACCTACACCGGCAGCCAATGCGGAAACGGTATTGTTGAAGCTGGCGAAGACTGTGACTGCGGCGGCGAGTCGTCCTGCGGCAACAACCCATGCTGCGACGCCAAAACCTGCAAGTTCAAGAATGGAGCCGTGTGCGATGATGCCAACGACAGTTGCTGCTCGCAGTGTCAATTCTCTTCCGCCGGAACCATCTGCCGAGCTAGTCTTGGGGAATGTGATCTGCAGGAGACCTGTACTGGGAATTCAAGCACCTGTCCTGCGGATTCGTTCAAGAAGGACGGAGAACAATGTGGCAATATTTCTGGCCTGACCTGCGCCAGTGGCCAATGCACCAGCCGTGACTATCAATGCCGGTCCGTCATGGGAAGTTTGATCCACGACAATAACACGTACGCATGCCCGCAATTCGGTTCGTCATGCGAATTGATCTGTACATCACCCTCCCTGGGTTCATGCTTCAGTATAAACCAGAACTTCCTCGATGGAACGCCCTGCGGTAGCGGGGGTTACTGCCATAACGGACGGTGCGACGGCTCCAACATTGGATCCTGGATCGAAGAACATAAGAATATCGTTATTGGAGTCGCATGCGGTGTTGGCGGCTTGCTTGTCCTCTCCATACTTTGGTGTCTGATCAACCGCTGTCGCCGGCCACGAACTGTCGTCAAACGGCCACCGATGCGGCCCTGGCCGGGCCCTATGCCACCACCGCCCCCTCAAATGGGACAGTGGGCCGGGCCTAATAGAGGGTACCAAGGGCTCCGGGCTGAGCCGCCACCCCCGTACCCCGGACCGTACCAGCCAGCAACACGATATGCCTGATCTTTTCCTTCTTACCGTCACGAGCTCTCGGGATTGATTCCCGCAGCACTTGCATAACACTATCATTTATATCCGGTTGTATATGTTTGGAGTTAGAGAGATTTTACTTATCGTCTGGGTTAAGGCATTTGGAATCCTAGGCTCTGGTGTTTTTTGTGGGCGTATCAGATGTCAGACCTGTTCACACATCTGGTTTCATAGTTAGCTTTGGTTGGTATTACTTGCATATATCTGCACCTTTTTAAGAGAACTATTAACCGCGTTGCGGGCAGATGCGGTTAGCCCTAAATGTGTATGGATGCCATAGCACCTTCCCAAAACATGCAAATATGCTACCTTGGTCCATGGTGGCTTCATGTCCAGCTGAAATCAGTAACTACCTTAGCATTCTCCTCCCTACTACATGTATTTCGTTGATGGGGATTTTCACAAATTCCTGTTTCCTCTGCGCCATTGACAGTGGAGGAGTATCTCTTCCTTCCTGTTCAATATCTGGTTGCATCGCCGACTTTGAGATCCCTGAGCTTGTGACCGTCCAGCTCCTTCCCTGAAATACCACGCTGGGCGAACATGCCGGTAATGCCCAAGAATAGGATCGTATCGCCGCCATTCCTACCAGGCTAGGCCACAAACCGAGTAAACCGCGCCGTTGGCTTTGAGATATCTTGAAATTGGATCAAACCTGTTCCCAGCTATATCAAGAGGCCTCCACCCAATAACAATCCTGGCGTTGACATCGCTCCCTCCCTCGACCAGCAAGACGACCGCTTCGTAATGGCCACGCTCTGCCGCATGATGCCACGGGAGAAAGTTATAGGAGCTGCGCGCCGCGACATCCGCACCATAGGCCAAGAGCAGTTTTATGGCTTCTATGTTCCCGCGGTACGCGGCCCGGTGCAACGGACTCGCCTGTCAATTATTCTCTATCTCGGTCTTGCAGCCGTGCTCAAACAGCAAGCGGATTACTGCTGGTGTTCCTGTTGGATTGTCGGCGGCATAGGTCAAAGGAGAGGCACCGTTTTTGTCAACAGCGTTGACATCTGCACCGAGTTCGATCAGCCTCCGCGCTACGGCTTCATTCTGTCCCAATGCGGCTGCATGGAGTGCTGTTGTTGGCGTGGCGTATATGGCACCGCTTAGTGAAGGATGAGAATACTTGGTGGTGTACACGGGAAGTCTAGCAGAGAGGTCGGCCCCGAGAGTGCCGACAAGATAATCCAAAAGGTCGACCTGTGCATGCAGAGTAACAACCATCACCAGGCGAGCCTTCAATACACTGTCGATTTTGGCCTGTTTATGCTGCGTGAATGACTGGATCTTGTGGATTGTCTCTCTACGCCCGTTTCTGGCAGCCCAGACTAGGACGGGGTTCGGGTCGACCAGAGCGCGGTCTTGGAGGAGTGGGTCGAAGAAGAATGCGAAGTCGCGAGATGTCCAAGCCGGAGAGTTGAGGTCTCTTGGCCATAGGAGATTGGAGATGAGAAGGGTCAATCCTGGGGGAAGATTGAGTAAAAACATTGTGTCTGAGGAGGTGATGTGAGGTTGGGGGAGGTCGAAGTGTCGAAGTGTATCGCAGTAGAAGAGATACCAAGGTAAGTAACCTCTTTGCATAGACAGCACTGTGAAATCCATTGAATACTTGACTAATCCATTGTACCGTGCTAGCAATTGCATACAGCTGGTGTGAATACTGAAAGCTCCTGTCGATATGTCCGACTATCAAATGTTCCTCAAACCTTTTCACACGGATATTGCCTGGCTAACAATTATCTTCGAGAAGGGCCGAGTCATCTAGCTAAATACATTCACGCAAGGTATCTTTGGCAAGACCATATACCTGCTCCCAAGCGAGCTCGACCCTGTCAAGACCGATGCCCTCCAGCAGGTGAATGCAAGAGTGCCGACCAACGAGCCCCGAAACTGGGTAGACAAGGACATCATCCCGGCCTCCAGAGAGGTGCATGGGTACATGTCTTCAATCCTCTCCTCATCGATCTGGCATTCAGTCTTCGCGACGGACAGACTCCTGTGCCAACAGGGATGCTGCACAATAAAGAAACGGATCACCCTGTAGAAGCTACACCTCATCACTGGTACGGCGCTCACTTAAAAATCTTTCGAGCTCGCGTCCTAGCTCAGGACCCGTCAGAGCACCCGCTTTTCTCAGTATTTTCCGTACCGACACGGACGCTGCGAGGTCAAGGGGAGTATCAGCGTTGTAATCAATGGCAAAGACATCAGCCCGCTTATCAACAAGCAGCTGGACGGCCTCGTGGTTTCCGGACTCTGCTGCAAGGTGTAAAGCTGTGCAGCCCTCGTCATCACTTGCGTTAATATTTGCTCCGTGATCCAAAAGCAGTCTTATGGCGTCGGTGTTTCCATCAATACTAGCCCAGAGCAAGGGAGTCTGCCGTCGATCGGGCTCGACGGCTTCCGTCTGTGCCCCGTGTCCCAAAAGCAACCGTAGAATGGCTATCGAGTTCGCACCGTACTCTAATTCTTCGTCCGTATCCCAGGCCTCACCTGCGGAGGCGTCTTCGCGGTCCGGTTTCCAAACAGCGTAATGCAGCGGGGATAGCCCCCCAGTATCAATCGCGTTCACGTCGGCCCCTAGCTCAATCAACTTTTGTGTAGTGACTGTGTTCCCTTGTTCAGCGGCTTCATGTAATGCTGTCCTTGGCAATAGCGAATATTCATGAGGTACCATGGCAGAGAGGTTGGCGCCAACGGTGCGAACGAGATATTCAAGTAGGTCAACCCGGTTATGCAAGACGGCGGTCATGAGCATGCTCTCTTTTATGTGGGGAGGAATATTGATGCGTTTGTGCTCTGCGCGTTCGAAGACCCTGCTGATTATTGCTTCGTCTCCTCTGGCAGCAGCCCACAACAGGATTTCCAGTTTGGGATTGATGAGGCCACGGTCCAGGAGATGGAGGCCCAGTAGATTCGCGAAGGAGCTGGCTGTCTGGACTAGAGCATTGAGGTGTTTTGGTTCGAGGAAGTCGGCAATGATAATGATCAATTCAGACGGGAGGTCGGTTAAAAGCATGTTGGCTGAGGCCTGAGGGTAAGATGTGTTGATGACAGATGATGAAAAGGTTGCTCAGGTTTCCAGATACAAATTTAGACAGATAGAAAACGCGTAGTACTGCCACTGTTGTTTGGGTGAATAGGATGACCTAGGTGATTGTCTACAGTGAATATCTCCTGCCCACCACCAGCAAGCAAGCATCTGGTACAACTTTCACGTCTTCTGCCCTTTCTATCCTGAACATCCGAACAAGTCGTTGATTTCCAATCGGAGTCTTATTTGATATCCATATACTAGCCTCGATAATTCGAAAAGGACCATTGGAATGCATATTGCCAATTATGTGCTTCCCTGCGTCCGGAACTCGGTTATATCCAGTCCCCCGTGGTTGATGGTTAAGAACTTTGGAATCATACAGGAAAACAACATGACCATGGCTTATGGCTTCAAACCTGCGAGATTAGGTATTACCCTGGCAAACAAGATCTATGAAATCGCGGGTGTCCGTTACAGCACCCTAACACAGACTCATCGGAATGATTAGCACCATTTTCGAGGCCAATATCTGCTTTGTCTCCTGTCCGGGGAAGAGGGCTATGTTGCAAGGGTAACAGTGCGACATATCTTTGTCCAACGGGTGCTCGAGCAGCCGTACAGCTGCTGAAATATCAGATGGCTCCTGATGAAACGCCTTTTGACACAGCAGAGTTTGTCAGAAACATCCAGGTAATCAGCATAATGAAGCAGAACCTGTCGGCTACAAACAAAAGCTCGCTACAAGCTGTAGCCGGTCACAGCCGCCGAGCCGGTAGAGCAACGCAGTATGCTAAGCAGCGGATATTCCGGAGGCCTGGGTTCACGATGCTATATCTGGTTCAGGGCGCACATTAATGAGAGGTACTTACCTAGTACCTAGTACCTACCTTATAGATGACTGCAATAGTAAGAGCCAATCAGAAAGTTAGAAAGCTAGAGTTTCACCAGTTTCACCAATCAGATCGAGCAACAAGATGGCCGCATCGGGCATTCAGCTAGGCGGTTGGCCTGGCTACAGTGTAATGACGATATTTGTGCGTATATGGAATCATATGGTGATGCGCAGCATGATAAGGAAGACTAGCCCTCCCATCTCTCACTCCTTCCCCGTACTAAACAATTGGCTATGGGTGCACCGGATAGCGAAGGGAAGGAGATGAGGAGAATGGCACAGAAGGTCATTGAGCTAGGAGCAGAGCCAATGCTCTCAGTGAATGTGGCGGATGTATTGCATTACGCCGTGATTCGGGCTGATTGACCCGAGAAATTATTTGCGTCGACTAACCCTAATATTGAAGCTCGTTTAACCAAACGACCCCCTTTGCACTTGGCAGAGAGGGACGAGTACGTCTGACATGGAGCTACATCTAGCCCACGGCGCTGACCTCGAGTGCGTAATCGCAACGGCCACACACCTTGCACTATGTTGCGGAATATGGCGCGTTGAATACAGCTCCGGCTCATCGAGTGTGGCGTTGGTGTAAACCTCTTGTCTAATAATTCCGGAGAGACGTCGTTGGATCCGGTTGAATTCAAGAACGTGACACGCCGATCGACTGTCTCCTTGACGAACGGGGCTGTATCTGGTGACGAAGCACGGTTGACAGGACAATGTTTCATTACTCAAAAAGCACCAGAGCACGCATGACAGAAGAAGCATATACAAGCAAGTAACAGCACAATCATCATTGCCAGCAGATACTCACAAACGCATCCCGCGTAACACCACCGACACCTTCCAAATCAAACTCCTCGATCATCGCGCGTAGCTCCTCCTCCTCCAACCCCGTCTCCCCCAATTCCCTCGCAACCCGCCGCAAATCCTCAAGATCAATGTACCCCTTCCCACCCTCGTCAAAAAGCTCAAACGCCCGGAGGATCTCGTCCCGCGGATCCCGCTCCAGAATCTTAACGGCCGTCACGGTCTGAAACGCCGACAGCGGCATGAGGAGGTTGGAAGGATGCTGGGGGTTGGTGGCCGGCGTCGCCTTCGACTGCGCCTGGTGCTGCGCTGCCTGTGCCGCCGATTGCTGTTGTACTTGGGGCCGGGGGACGCCGTAGGTCGTGAGGAGGGAAATGAGTTCTTGTTTCGAAAGCGTGAAGCCGAGGGCGCGGAACGCGACGCGCAGTTCATGGTAATCTAGATGCCGGTCTCGGTCGAGATCGAAGAGCGTAAACTATCCACACCGTATCATATTAGCTAGATTCAAGAAAACTCTCCCATACCCATATGCCTTGGTCCGTCCGGAACACCGTCCAGAACACCGTCACGGTAGCTAGGCACAGGCACAGGCTAGAACAAAGTATCAGATCCCTTACAGCTTCATTAATCTCCTCCCTCTGCTCCTCCGTCAACCGATTCAACGGATTCGAGTCCTGCGAGGGCCCATGTGTCTGCGAATGCACTGGAGGTTGAGGCGCTGCCTGCTGTGTTGATTTCGCGCCCTCTGCGCCAAATTCGCCGGGCCCCGTCGCTCCCAGTCCGCGATGCCGAGAGAAGGACGACGCGCTGAAGGGAATCGCATTTGTATTCACGGAGCGATCGGGTAATTTGCCGCCTCCGTATGAGCGCGAGCCGAACGGTTGGTGGGCTGATGATGCCATGATGGCTGTTTGTTCCCCAAAGATTGTCGCCAGGACACGGGTCGGTAGAGAAACTGTCTCGTGCCGATAGAAGCGAGAGTAGACTAGGAGGATATTGGACAGTAATTTTCGAGGCTATGAAAATTGGACAATGCTGTGGTGTTCTAATTGAGGAGATTTGTTTCGTCTTTGTCTGCGGAGAAACGCGCTGGAAGCAGTTCGCAGCGGCCAGACGCGAAGCGGTGGACAAAGCTTCTTGTTGTTCCTTGGGCGATCATACAACAGAATGTTAGGTATCAAAATGGTCGTTGCACCTCAGTTGAAAATTATTCTGATTTATATTACTACTAGCACCGAGAATCGCAATCACTTAGATTCAATGGTATAGGATTTAAAACTTTCTTTGTCCTCTGGTATCGTGTAGCAAGGTTATGTCACATGTAGCAAGATCCACCCAGGTTTTTGTTTTAGGTAGCCAACTTCGTTGCAAAAAATTGTGGAATTCATAATACCATAGCCAACTGATATTCCCGCAAGAAATCCATAGAGCAGAGCCAAAATACATTTGTTCGAGATTTCGGTGTCGATATCCCTGCTGGGTTGTCCTGTGTTGGCGAATTCTGGCAGCAAAATGGTGATATTGGAGCGAAAACTTGAGCAGATGGCAGCTAATAGCTTCCAGCCATGCTGGATTGGGCAGAATTAACTAAGGTCGTCCCACCCCACGAGTCGGTTGGCGAAGACATAGACCAGTCGCCCATCAGCGTGTTTCTTCCAAATGCCTCAAAGTCGGCGAGGCCTTCGTCGAAGGGATAAATCTGGGATAACTCTGCTTCCAAATTCTCCCAGTCGTCCGCACCGTCCATCATCTGCGAGGGATCTTGAGGCTGGCTTTCGGGGAAAGGAGCGGTAAGAGTTGGAGGCCCGAGGCTCTCGTTAAGAAGTAACTCAGCATCGTATGAGACATGCAAGGACAGATGGAGTTGCCTGTGCATGGCTATGGATGGCACACCCTGATCAAAAGGGCGTGAACAGATCGCGACGTTGAAGTATTGACGGCAGGAGACTGGTGGGATATGCTTCTCAAAGAACACCTTCTTCTCGGCCTCCAATTTTTCTTTCTCCAGCTTTGACCCGAATACGTGCGGGATCTTCTCCTTCACACAATAGATGTTGGAGAGTACCATATTTGAGCGAATCTTAACCTCAGCAAATATGCCAGCCATTGGCTGTGGCAGTTCGAAGCTGGAAAGGGCTTCCAGGACTCGGTGGTAGAGGCCGACAGCGACCCAAACCGGGTTGATGCAGCTTGCACCGCTGCAGTCATTCTTCATGCCAGCAGACTCACCGTCGTAGTCTGATTTCTGTTTGATTAAGCTGTAGGCTTCGGAACCCAGCTCGTCTGACAATTCGCAGAGACCTCGTAAGCAGAGAGCCAGCATGTAGAACATCACTATCTTTGTTTGTTCTACATCAGTCGCTCGCACGTATACCTGCGTCTTGGAAAGGCATAGAATCGCCGAAAGCAGCTTGTGCAGGGCCACAGCAGTCTGCACAAGAGAGCTCACAGGGTATTGCGTAACAAATTTATCCATCTCTTCGGATTGAATGCACTTCAGGAGCTTAAGAATTAGCTGTTGGCTCAGACCGCTGGAAATGTTCATATTTGTAGCGTCGAGATCAGCCGCATGCATGACCCAGTAATCTATCACTTCGCCGTCGCATTGGCAGAAGCTGACAACAGCCTGGGAAGACGCACATTGAGATATCTCTTGTAGAGAAGAAAAGATATCTTCAGGTTTCGTCGTTTGGAACCAAGTACTGTCTTGGTTCAAGTCCTGACAGCGAAGCAAGGACAGTTCTGCAGGTCTTCTGACGCACTTGGATTTGCTGTCTTGGCAACGAGGACAGGGGAGTTGCGGTTTGCAGGTTTTCTTCATGCGGTAACACCAGAGGCAAACGCCTCCCATTTCCTTGAGCTTCTTATTTTTCTCTCTTCTCTCGTCTGATTCCTCTTTGGTCTGTACTCGCGATTCGCGATGACGAGCTGGCCTTATTCCGTCCTCCATCACAAATGTAAACCCGGAGACGTTGCCAGGAGATCGATCCTGCTGGAGTGACCCGGCTGGAGGAGGACAGTGGACCCCCGAGAGGTTCATGGAGCCTTGGGATGTGACTAGTTCAGTTAATATATATACAAATGACGTGGGCAAGAGTCACTTACACTCGGAAGGAATCCGATCGGCCGATGATGCGAAGTCATATACATGACGCTCAACTGGTGACACTGTGCGAGTTCCGAGGGTATCGTACGGTCAGGCGGATAACTGATGTTCCAAATTCATATTCGATGCTGGTGAATTCGGCGTTTGAATCGATGTATCATAAGGGACTGACACTGGAGAGATGACGGGCCCGGGAGAAGGAAAACAGGTGAAGCCTTGGGAGAAGTTCACTGGATGGGCATTGGTAAGGTTTACCATGCCGTTTGTGAAAGTGTGGTGGTTTACCATGAGTTCAGTGGTAGCGCCGCGCGCGAACGGAGAGTCCATTTCAGCAAGAGGAAAATGATGTACGTGATTATGATGTACATGCTGTAGTGTTTGTACTTGTTGTAAATTGAAGCTATGAGATGATGGGGTATCGTATGTCGCTTGGTGATGGATCATAGCTTCGTGTGATGATGACGCAAGACTCTCCATAGTGGGCTGGGGCGAGTTAGTAAATACTGACTGAAAAGATTCAGATATCTGAGCAGCGAGAAGAGGAAATGAGACATCCTCAAAGCCCGGAACAGGGTAAACTTACACCTCCATTTGGAAGTTCTATGCTCTGATGTCGAGGGTCAAAAGATGTTTGAAAAGATTCAAACTGCGACGGAACGAAGGGAAGATCCGAGGTTGGAATATAAGACATAGTATCGGATTCTAGTACTTTACGTGGTAGTAAAGACGATCGAAGTCGTAAAGATAGTGTATAGGTAAATTAAGGCGGTCTCAAAGAGGTTCGATAAGTAACGAAGGACGTAAGAAGCGGGATGGTGAATGATGAGTTCAGGAGACACTGTCTGAAGAGGTCGAGGTATGTTGTCGTCGAAGTATGACGAGAAGGTAGGAGTCACAGTAGACCCAAAGTTAGGGCAAGGGCAGCATGACGACAACAAACCTTCCACCAAGCAACCACCGTCCTTCAGCAGTCTGCAAGCAAGACCGACAGCAAGCAAGACGGGCAAGGCTGAGTGCTCAGTACATGAGTAGAACAGCGACTGCTCTCTGGTTGAACATCAAAGCCAAATAAGACCAATTCCTGGCAGTGTCTGCGCTGGAGTTGACTGGACACAACTGGGCTTGCAGCCTAAGGCAGAAAGCACTTCTCGACCAGAAAACTGTAGGTCTTCTGACCTTCCCGTCCTTGATTACTTACTGATAGCATCATCAGTTGTTCATGGGGAAAATGGCGATGTTTAAACCAACTCAATATCCGTTGGGAGAGTAGATGACCCTGCCAAGAAGTGAAGTCGGAAATCGCCCATTAGCTGTCCCTAGGTTGCGATTGAATAGCAACTGCTCCTTGATAAAAAATTTCGCTTCTTGATTCATGTAGGAAGCGATGTAATCATTTCAAGGCTCCAGATGTTGTTCATCCTGAGCTATAAGATCAGGGTCAATCTCAGTGCCCAGATCTCGGTCTTCAAGAAATTTGCGGCCAAGTAGTTTCTCTGGAAGGTAATCCTGCACTACCTGACCATTGAGATAATTCGGGTTGTACTTGTACTCTTTTCCATACCCCAACTCCTTCATGAGTCGAGTGGGGGCGTTCCTCAGATGGATTGGTACTGGCAAGCCCGCAACCCCCGGCTCCCCCAAGGCTGCAAAAGTATTGTTCAAGCCGCGATACACTCGAGTACTCTTTTTAGAGAGCGCCATGGCTACTGTAGCGTGTGCGAGGTTGATGCGTGCTTCTGGAAGTCCGATCTTTTCGACAGCCGAGTGAGTAGCAATAGCAAGTGGCAGCATACTGTTGTCTGCCAAGCCGATATCTTCTGAAGCCACAACAACTAGGCGACGTGCAATAAACAAAGGGTCTTCACCAGATTGCAGCATGCGTGCGAGGTAGTATAGAGCAGCATCTGGGTCACTGCCCCTGATCGATTTGTGGAAGGCCGAGATTGTGTCATAATGTTGATCCCCTGCGCGGTCGTACACCAAAGTCTTGGTAAGCGATCGCTTCAATTCTTCTTTGGTCATGCCGGGACGTTTCGACAAGTCCATAGCCAGCTCCAAAAGGTTGAGGGATGTTCGAGCGTCTCCATCAGAAAAGCGAGCAAGGTACTCAATCAACTCATCATCTACGATTGAGGACGGTGAATAGTTGGGGCCCTCAACTCTCAAAGCTCGGTCAAGGATAGATTTGACGTCCTCATCGCTCAGCTTTGACAATGTGAAGGTCCTGCATCTGGAAAGGAGAGCGCTCTGGACTTTGAAAGACGGATTCTCGGTCGTGGCGCCAATGAGTGTGATTTGCCCACTTTCTACAGGGCCTAAGAACACATCCTGCTGTGACTTGGAGAAGCGATGGATCTCATCGCAGAACACTATCGTCTTCCTTCCAGTCAGACCGAGCTCGCTTCTGGCTTCTGCGAATATCTTTTTGCATTCCGCGACCCCGGTACTGGTACTGTTGATTTCCACGAATCTGCTCCCTACTATCGACGCGATGACTCTTGCAATGGTTGTTTTACCCGTCCCTGCATGCCCCCAGAGAATCATACTCGGGACTCGATCTTGTTCAATTAGTCCGCGGAGCACACCATTTGGCCCAACGAGCTCCTGGCCACAGACTTCATCGAGAGTCCGGGGTCGCATACGCTCAGCCAAAGGTGCTGCTTTCTGAAGCGCGTTCACCTTCGGCTTTTTCGGATGAGGCTCTCTTTGCACTTCATCTTGGTCCGGCTTGTACCCGTTCAAGACAGACTCTTTCTCATGTGTAATCGTTCGTTTCCCGTTGACGGGTCGTAGCGGTGAAGGTGCGGACGGGGAATCACTTTGCGGTATGCTTTGGGAGGCGGCCTTTCGGGAAGAGGTCGGCTGAAAGAAGCTAGGTACTGGAGTCTTCTGAGAAGACCCTGGCTCCCCCGTGCTCGATGTCGGCTCCTCAATGAAGTTCTCACAATTGGAGTCGATATGGTCGTTGATCTTTAGGGACGGAACGGAATTCCCGCAAATGGGACAGGAAACCATGATGACTGGCCCATAAGCGACGACTACTTTTGAATTGGTGATCAATCAGACAAATAACGTGGAGGTACCATGAAGAATGAATGGGGATCACTGCATCCTGGCCCTAACTAATCATTGAGCTTTTGACGCGTGAACGCGTCTGGACACCTACGCCGGACTGTGTTTAGTAATCCGAGGTTCTTGAAATGACGCACATTTACAGCCTTGGTGCCTGACATTGTTGCTTCTTTGAGGATATAGAAGAGCAACACTGAAGATAAAAGAAGCACCGCAGCAATTATAGGTCACCAGAGAGACTTACATGATTCCTACAGAAACAGTCATCAACGGATATGATACTTTAGTCTTGTGGCACAATGCCCATAAAGAATGTAACCTCCGATTGAAGGCGGAGCACGCAATTGTGCTAAATCGGCAATCACCGCCCATGGATGTAGTCAGAAATGCCCCATACTGCCCCCCATTGACCAGGAACCCACTGTTCTTATTTATTTGTAGGCTTGCAGTCATAATCTTCTCCTTGTCCCTATGTTCCTTTCTTCTCGTAGCCCTGCCTCCTTAGCAGTCCTTCACAGTTTCAGAAGCGCATCATCATCATCAGTATCCGCATTTAAAGCTGTACCTCCCCGCCTTCATAGCCGAACAGTGAGAGCGATGTCGGCGACAGCAGCGAGACCAGATCCGTTTCGTCCAGCGAAGAGAGTTGCGGGCCAGAGACAGGATGTCTGGTGCGTATACCTTTTGTAGCACTTTGGACCAGAATGGAACTATATCCTAATGGTGCAAAAGGTCAATTGTCAACGAAGCCGCTGCCGCTTCGCCGGTCCAGCCGATTGTGAACATGGGTCAAGGCTTCTTGTGAGTGACACTTCATTCAGAGGAGTAGGGACGAAAAACTGATAAAAATTTATGTAACAGCGGCTACAACCCTCCTCAATTCGCTCTTGATGCGGCCAAGGAAGCTCTCGACCGGGTCGAGTGTAACCAGTATTCGCCCACGAAGGTACAGCACTGCGATTCAGCGAACTGGCAATTGGCTTTCGGCTTATAATGCGATACAGGGCCGTCCCCGACTTAAGAAGGCCATTGCCGACGCATACTCTGCCTCCTTCGGACGAACCATAAACCCGGATACGGAAGTTTCCATCACCACCGGCGCAAATGAAGGTTGGGCGCAATAAGACATCCGTTCGGATGTGCTTGCTGACAGCGGACCAGGAATGTTGAGTGCTTTCATGGGATTCATTGAACCCGGAGACGAGGTCATCATCTTCGAGCCCTTCTTTGACCAGTAGGGAACCTTGACCCTGTGCCTCCGATGTCTCTAACGCGCTGTATAGATACATCAGCAACATCGAGATGCCTGGCGGTACAATTCGATACGTCCCGCTTCATCCTCCCAAGGACGGTGCGACAAGGACTTCGCCTGCGTCTGAATGGACGATAGACTTCGAGGAACTGGAGAGGACGATCAATTCGAAGACAAAGATGATTGTAAGGAGTATTTTTCTTCCTTATTGAGACAATAGCTAACTCGCTCTGTAGGTCTTGAACTCACCGTGAGTGAGCCAGATCAATTACATTCGTATGAAGCTGACAACTGCATCAGACACAACCCCGTCGGAAAAGTCTTCTCGCGCGACGAACTTGAACGCATTGGTCAGCTATGTGTGAAGCACAATCTTATTATCCTCTCCGACGAGGTGTATGATCGCCTCTACTACGTCCCTTTTACTAGAATTGCTACCTTGTCCCCGGAGCTCTGGGAGCGTACTCTCACGGTTGGCTCCGCCGGCAAGGCCTTCTACGCTACTGGCTGGCGTGTTGGATACCTCATTGGACCGGAGCATCTCATCAAGTATGTCGCCGCTGCACACACGCGTATTTGCTACAGCAGTGTATCTCCCCTTCAGGAAGCCGCCGCCGTGGCTTTCGAGCAGGCAGACAAGGTCGGATTCTGGGACCAGAGCCGGACGGAAATGAAGCAGAAAATGGAACGCTTCTGCGAAATCTTTGATGAGCTTAACATTCCCGTGAGTCTATCGCAGACTGTCCAAGAGAGCTACCCTTACTGATTACTACTAGTACTCTGATCCTGAGGGCGGCTACTTCGTCCTTGCAAACATGTCTTCCGTCAAACTCCCGGAAGACTACCCATTCCCTTCTCATGTCGCCAGCCGCCCTCGTGATTTCAAACTTTGTTGGTTCCTGATCCACGAAGTCGGGGTGGCAGCCATCCCCCCGACGGAATTTTACACCGATACGAATGCCCACATCGCCGAAGACTACCTTCGCTTCGCCGTCTGTAAAAACGATGATGTCTTAAAGACAGCGAAGGAGAGGCTCCGCGGTCTGAAGAAATACATCTCGAAGTAAGAACGCTCAAAATTCGGTGGGTTCTTCGGTGAAATGTGCTGCGAACGACGGATGGACATTCCCCGGGCTCTGTGTGCGCAGGACTTGCGTTGCGTTTACAGGGGCTGCAATGAAGCTTTCTGGTAGGCCACGGAGAACTTGAAAATCTAGATTAGCGGGTTTTCGTTCTGCCTTTGTATCTCGGATATCTCAGCGTCTTCTTGTTCTTGCTTCAGGACATGTCAATCTAACCTTGAAACATATTGGCATCATCATTGCATATCATTTCTGCAATCGCTCTGAGGTGTTCGGCTGGGGAAGAGACTTAAATATGGCGGAGCATTCATTATGCTCATTAATGGAAGGAGCTGACCAGAGATGGCTATCTACCCTTACATCCAGATTCCTATGTACTCTAACAAGCCACCATAACCAAACCCTGGAGCGACTATCTTCAAGATGAAAATCGCCAAGAACAAATCACGACAGTCTTTAATCGTCAGAGAGACCTTCAAGCATTGATGCCTTCGATTTCCATAGGTCCAGTTCCAGCACCGTCCCATCCTTCTCCGCGCTGAAAGACCCTTCTATCTTCCTCCGCCACGCCCTCGAAGCCCTCCCCTCTCATGCGCGCATGCACGTCCATCACATCAGAATGAGTCGTTCTTGCAGCCCGCAAGATCCAAAAAGATTCTTCTAAATGATCGACAGTCTGGCGATGACCATTTCCTCCAACCGAACCGAGAAGACGACGATATTCACCGCGGCAGATGGCATCCGGGCAGTGGCGGCGATTTCTACCGGTCCAGTCGGTCTCGCAAGCGTGTCTCTCTCCGGTGATATCTGGCAGTATGTTGATTGCGAATTCGGAGTGGATCTGATACTTGAGCATGTTCTCGACCTCGGGGGACCATATGCCTTGAGACCGCAGATCGTCCCTGATTAGACGGTACATGTAATCGACCAGTTCGTGGACTTCGATAGTCACTGTAATGAAGCTTGTGATTAGCAGTCACCGTCAGCGGCATGCGTGGCTGATGATCGTGACTTACTGAAAAGACATGCTGCGAGGATGCGTCGGAATCTATCCTTCTTCTCGCGAACCTCGAACTTGATTGTGTAAAGGACCCGATGGGAACAGCGCATCTCGAGATTGTTTTCGGGAAATCCTGCTTGTGCCCAATCCGCATAGTCTGAGAAGACAAAATAATCTCCTTCACGAATATTGATGTTAAAGTACACAGCTTGGCGATGACGCTCCGGGGTATCGTAGGGATGAAGGCAGGGCACCAGTGGTGGGCCATCACGCACATCTCGAGGAACAGAGTTCTCGCGGCAGGGCTGTGTGAAGGTCATTTGTCCGCAGTAGATCCAGTGCCATTTGATATCCTGGAGCAGATGTTCTTTGCAGCAATAACGAACTTCGGAGAATGGCCCACATTTAGGGCAGATGACAGTCCTTCCATCCCAGAGATTGCATCGCTTGTCGCAGCTGTGTTTTGCGCACGGAAACCCATGGCTATCAAGTTGCCAAAAGAAAGCTTCTGATCTCTGAGTGGCGACGTTTCCGTGAGCCTTGCGTGTGGAGAGCGTTGAAACGTCACTGGCTTCCAAGTGCGACGGATGAGAGTGACTGTTGCTGAAACGAGGGGATTTATTGTCTTCAAAATGAGTGGTCTGCTGCGAGCTCTGCTCAATTTCAAGGTTGGTTATCCGTGAAGAGACCTTCTCTGTCTCTGGCTGGCTTGGGGCATTTTTGTCAGTCATCAATATCGCGCTTGCAGCCGTAGGTGGAGAGGCGCCTCGGATCTGCGTTCTGGCCGACAGCCTTTCGCTTTCTACTATGGAAGTAGACGCATCAGTGCTCAGACAATCCTGTGTAGCTTCGCTTGCGGCTTCTTCTATGGGAGGCAGCCGTTCTTTTGCTGCACTCTCGGATCTGTGACTGTCTTTATTGGCACCAGTATGTTGAGAGAAGGATGGCACAGGAGAAGCTTCTCCAGCAGAGATCACTTTGTCATGCAGTGAAGTAACACTGCTGCCAGAATTTTCTCCCAGGTTAAGCATGAGACTCGAAGGCTTTTCAACAGTGCCGGGGCCTGGCTGCAGGTCTGCGTCACCTTGTTGAAATTCACTTTGGATTGGAGCGCAGTCTGCAGAAGTCCAATTGCTCTGAGACATAGCAGTGTCATGCGGTTCTGGCGATCCCATCTGCTGGTTGCCCTTCCCCCCCTGAGCTAGAATGTACGAGTCCACATAGGGTCCGACATGAGATGTCTGGTGCATGTGTGTCTCGTTTCTATTTCCAGAAGGGCCTTCGCCCACAGAATCTTGGTTGTTCCCACCCCTATTCCTGTTCCTGATCTTCTTCTTCTTCTTCTTTCGTGACGACGGTACTGGCTGCATGATGACAACTGAGCTGGGATTTGACTCTGCAGAATGCGCACTGGACGAGTGAAAACGGTCGCTGAATGGGCTTAAGGTGTCCCCTGAGGATAAGGACTCTGTCGGAGACAAGCGAGTGATGGTTCTTGCACGTATCAAGTTGATTGCAGATAAGCGGGTAGTGAGCTGCTCTGGACTGATATTTTGCCTTTCTTCCACTTCTTTGCATCATTAGCGACGCGTTTACCTGCGGCTGAGAGACATCTGGAGAAGTCGGCGGAAAGACAGTGAATGCTAGCCCACTTACCCATGTCACTGCTCTCAGCTGGAGAATGACTTTTACTCATCTTCACTGGGGAGGTGGGTGAGTTTGTCTCTTTGTCACTCTCCAAGCTATTGCCAATGAGACAGGTGGAGTGGTCCATCAGCATGTAGATTGCTGGGTGTTTGACACTTAGTTCCAGGCTGCTGAGGTTCAGTGGATTAGAGAGGCTTCTGGGGACGTTGGTCACTGAGGCCCGCTGCATCATCGTGGGCGAACACTCTGTTGTCTCGAAAACCCAGCCCTCTATGTCCTCGGTTGCCATCCTGTTTCCGAAGGCTCCTGGGGGACTCAGAGCTTCCTCAGGACGCGATATCATGAGCGCGTTACCTGCTTTTACTCAGTGCTGATAATATCCAGGGTAAATCTGGTGGGATGTTGAATTTCTCTCAGTCTTGACAGCGCGTCGACCTCCAGTATCTCAACAAAATATCTATGAATCCTTTCTCCTTATAGAGTGGATGCTCTTCCTAAAGAGGGTCTCTGAAGGAGTAAAAGAGATGAAAGAGTTTTACCAGGAAAGTTCCGTGTTCTTGTTCGCTAACATCGCCATGGCGATGGTGACCAACTGATTTTCCGGTGGAGTCTGTTCTGAGTCCTATGTTTCTCTCCTGTTTGGGAGTACACATAATAGGTCTGGGGAAAGATTGACTGTCGTGATTAGCTTAGCTGGCTGTTAGTATCTATCATCGTCTTCTTAACAAGATTTTCACAATCAATAAGTAACCTTTGAGTCCTATAGACAACATCTTCCCGTTCCTGTGACCATAGATATATCCAGACGCAGAAGCTGGATTCTGGATTGCAGCGAGCAGCCCTTCTCACGATCAAGCTTCTTGGTTCTACGAGGACAACGTTGATCATCCAAGTGTTAGGACTCATGTCTCGGGTATATGGATTTCATGATGCACTCATCTCCATCCCATATGTTTATAGAACTCCCGGAGACCTGGATGCCAACAGAACATCTGGTTGATCCTAAGCACTTTAGGCAGATTTCGCAGGTCCATGACCCTCTTAATTCATCATATAATCTGTACTATTCTAGTATTGAATGTCTGACTGCCTGATTGTACCTGCAGCCCCTATGATCGCGTGGTAGTTGCTTCTTTCAGTCGCGCTCGCAAATGCTTTTGCTTCATCCTACAACCATCGTCCAGCATCTTGAAGCTTTTCTTGTGGAGCAGCAGTTGTTATATATTCATCGATGAATATAAATAACTTTCTCACAGTATTTGTTGCCATGTCGAAGTATTCCCTCTATCTCTCATGTCCAGTCAAATAATAGATGATATCCTAACCTCCGGCAGGCCAGCGGTAAATGGAACAAGAAGCAGGTCTGCAGATGTCAAAGGCAGCGAACAAAGAGCCCTTGCTCTTTTTCCCCACTTAACTCCACTAAGCAGGTCTTAGTTTATAATATCTGATTGATTGGCTGACGTTTTGCTGCACTACTTGAAGGATTGGTTGAGCGATCCTGGAGCTTAAGCGCCGGCCGTGGGAGGCTATATTTGGCCTGCCAGCGCTCTGAAGAACCACTGAGATGAGCCGCTCAGCATCTCGCGCAAGATGAAACGACCTGGGTGCAGAAACCTTAGATCTATGTTGATCTATGGAGTAGCAGCTGCTTTTTTTGGTTGTTTTGGTTGTCGTCGGGCTCGATGGCAGGCTTCTGAATGGATGTCTCAGATGTCTGCTCAGGTCAGAAGGAGAACATTTCCATTGCAATGGGAAATAGGCAACTTCGTTGCAGATATAAATTCTATTCGCCCCGATTTTCTATTCATTGTGCTTTATTAAGCCATTGTTGCCTTTCCTTTGTTGTTGTCTTGACAAGCGCTAACACTTGTATTCTTTGTCGCGGCAGCCTCTTTCATTCATCTTTAACAGACTCGAGCATGCGTCATGAGGTCTCAATAGACTGATTCATTCTCCTCATTTTGAAGTCCATAGTTGCCGGTCAACATTTTCTTTGATCTTTGCGGATTCCTCTATATTCTCGGCTTCGTCTTTCACTTTCTCTCCCTGGACATTCTGTCTGCGACTACAAATCTCGACCAGCGCGCCTATCGCTCAACGTTGTTCTTCATATAGATTTCAGCATGTTATTCTCAAGATCCGGTCGATCAATATTTCCCCTTCTGCCACCCTACGCAGCTCACGCCCCGAATCCGAATCAGGGGCATATCATCACATTGCCTCCGGACGGCCTGACACCTTACCTTGGCCTCAGGGCTCGCTTATCACAAGTATGGATCAATCGATGGACGATCCTGCTGCTTCTTGTGCTCATCAGAGTTTTGCTAGCTGCTTCAGGTCTGCAGGCAGACATGAGCACAGCGAAACGGGAAGCCCTATCGGCTTGCACGAGCGTCGAATCCATGGGTAGCTCGATGGCTTCCATGCCCCATTATTTATCCCAAGGTGTCAACGAGTTAACAGCAACCGGAGTCGAGAAGGCTGTGAGCGGGCTCAAATCGATGCTGATGCTTACCATCACTGGTGTCGAAGAATTGGTCCTCTTCATCATCAAAGTGCTGTACCAGACTTATCTGTGTCTTTTCACCCTGGCGGTTAGAGGCAGCGTGCATGTTGCGGTGGGCGTCATTGAGGAGGCCGCGGACTTTTTGAATTCCACTGTTAAGGAGGTCGGAGACGACATTGGCAAAGCCGTCAGCACGTTCGAAAGTGCATTCAATAAATTCCTTGATGGTGTGAACACCGTCGCCAGTGCTTTTGGAGCTAGCGTACCAACATTGGACCTCAACAGCTCGATCAGCACGTTGGAGAACCTCCAGCTGCCTTCTTCAATTGATCAAGGGCTTGACAAGCTCAATAGCTCACTTCCGACCTTTGATGAAGTCAACAATTTCACCCAAACGGTCCTGCGCACGCCGTTTGAAGAGGTCAAAAAGCTCGTCAATGAGTCTCTCGGAACATACACTTTCGATCGATCTCTGCTACCGGTTCCAGCAAAGGAACAGTTGACATTCTGCGAGGGTAACAATGGCATAGACTCGTTCTTCGACAGCGTGACGGATTTGGTCATGACAGCGCGCAAGATTTTCATCGCTGTTCTCATCGTTGCGGCAACGCTGGCCTGCGTCCCAATGGCATGGCAGGAGATCCGTCGCTGGCGCTCGATGAAGGAACGCTCCCAACTAGTCAGGAAGGAAGCTCACGACCCCATGGACGTTGTCTACATCGTGTCTCGGCCGTACACTGCCGCAGCCGGCATCAAAGCCGCGAGCAGGTTCAGTAACAGCCGCAGGCAGATCCTTGTACGCTGGGCGGTTGCTTATGCAACAACGCCTGCAGCGTTGTTCGTGCTCTGTCTCGGAGTAGCCGGACTACTCTCTTGTCTGTGTCAATATCTGCTTCTGCAAGCCGTCGAGAAGACCGTGCCCGAGCTATCGACGCAAGTCGGCGCGTTTGCCGACAAGGTCGTCGACAGCCTACAGAATGCCTCGGCGGAGTGGGCCAACGACGCCAACGGAGTGATTGGACACATGAACCAGGACCTGAACGAGAACGTCTTTGGCTGGGTCAACACCAGCACGACCGCTTTAAACGATACGCTCAACACCTTCGTCGACAAGACGACCGGCGTCCTCAACGACACCTTCGGCGGAACCCTCCTTTACGAGCCCCTCATGGACGTATTCGAGTGTCTCATTGGACTCAAAGTCCAGGGTATCCAGAAGGGACTCACCTGGGTCCACGACCACGCGCACATCGACTTCCCTCTACTTCCAAACGATACCTTCTCCCGCGGTGCGGCGGCCAGCATCTCCAGCAATAGCTCCAATCCCTCAGACAGCTTCCTCGCTGACGCGGGCGACCAGACCTCAAACAAAATCACTGAGGTAGTTATCAGAGTCGTCAACAAGGTCGAAGACGGCATCCGCACAGAAACAATCATCTCCGCGGTCATCATCCTCATTTGGGTATTCATCGCGCTCATCGGCATCATCCGAGCCCTGAGCCTGTTCTGGGTCCGAGACCGAAACCGCGGCGAAGGGGGAGGAGCCCGGGTCAACCACCACGCGTCAGACGCCGGAGGATTCATCGACGTACCCTTGACGGCTATTCCAAACACAAACACAAACACAGACGCTCGCTCGATGCCTGCTCCGGCCCCGGCTCCTCAGTATGAGGCTTCCACAAGCACCGTGGTGGCTTCACGTGCTGTTCCCGTGAGCAGTAATCACCATGAGGATGAGAAACTGGGGTTTGCCGGGGAGAGACAATATGGGTCTGCGCTCAAGGTGGACGGCGCTGCGGACCTGCGGGGCAGCAGCTACGTCGAGTATGGCATGGAGAAGCGCTAGCTGGTTTATACGGATTTTGATCCGTTGACGTCTCATTTGTCCTCTCCATGGTGCTTTCATTTGCATTGTAGCATCTCTGGCGTGAAGCGTTGCTATTACCCACTATGCACGTTATTCTACTTTGTACGACATCCGTTTACATCTTGCGTCTCATGGAAGACATCTGCCGTACAGATGTCATCCTTCAGTCTAGATTTCACAAGATAATCAACATATTGAGCATTAAGCTGGATATAGAAAGTATTCAAAATATGATAAACATGCAGATCGCTGCGTCCTGTCATTCATACACTACTATAATCGCTGTACAAGCATTGAAACATGCATATATATAGATTTGTACCCGCGAATGTAACAGATAGCAGAAGCCTTAATGCCATGCGTAGCCAAAATGTCGTAATCATAAGCCCACCCCCTCATTCATAGACAATAATCAAATCGCGACGAAGAAACTCTTCTCTCCTTCTCGAGGCGTGACCCTCACTCTCTCAATGATAGGATCCGCACAGCTAACCCTAATCCGCTCAGGCGTAGCCGGGCTCTGCAAGCTAAGCACCTCATTGACATTCCACTGCTTGCGCGCAGCTTTGAGAGCATCCCGAATAGCAAAGAAGACAGCGCTGCCCATGAATAGCGGTGGTTCACCGACACCCCGTGACCGCTGGATGGTGCGGAGGTTCTCCCACTCGACGTCCTTCAGCATACTGACGTTGAAGACCTGTGGGATGTCCCTAAAGCCAGGGATCTTGTAATTTCCGGGGCCCTTGGTGAAGATCTGGCCAGAGGCACGATGCCAAAGACTCTCTTCAGTGGTGAAGAGGCCCTGGCCTTGGATGAAAGCGCCCTCAATCTGCCCGTAATCGATGGAAGGATTGATGGTGCGTCCGACGTCCATCTTGATGTCAGCGCGGAGAGGCGTCCAGTCGCCGGTTAGTGTGTCAATCTCTACCTCCGCGGCTGTCACGCCCTGCGTGAAGTAGAAGAACATTTGACCCTTGTTCTCTCCCCAGACGTACCCAATATCAGGGGTACGGTAGAAGCCCTGGGCGGAGAGGTTAACACGATCGAAGTAGGCTGCATTGGCGAGTTCCTTCAAGCTGGCCCCAGGCATTTTCTCACGGTACGGACGCAGGCGCTCGTTCAGTTGTTCGCATGCGTTGAAGATGGCATAGCCGTTGAGGTCCGAACTGGCGGACGCTGCCGTGGAGGATGTGTTGGCGACAGTATTTGTAGCTGTCTCCGAGATGAAGACATCGCTCTGAGGAACACCAAGTGCTTCTGCTGCAATCATTGTCATCTTTGTATGCAGTCCTTGGCCCATTTCAACTCCACCGTGGGCGACGAGGACACTGCCGTCGTGGTAAATATGGACCAATGCACCAGCCTGGTTCAGGAACAATGCTGTGAAGGAAATGCCAAACTTCGTGGGGATGATGGCCATTCCACGCTTGGACCATTTGTGTTTCTTGTTGTACTCCTCCACGGCCTTGCGGCGTTCCCCGTAGGAGCTTTCCTCCAGTACTTGATTATACATCAGGGGAACATGCCAGTCTTTGAGCTCCTGGTGAAAATGAGTCTTGTCTCCCGGCTGATACATATTCTGCAACCGGAATTGTTCGACAGGAATGTCAAGATGATCCGCAATCTCTTCCATGAAGGATTCGGCGAAGAACATGCCCTGAGGGCCACCAAACCCACGGAAGGCTGTGTTGGAAACAGTATTTGTCTTGCAGACACGGCCACGGACGTGAACGTTTGGAATCTTGTAAACTCCATCGATGTGGGAGAGACTTCTTTCCACAACTGCGCCAGACAGATCCTGCGTGTGGCCTCCGTTGGCATATACGTCGGCGTCAAGTGCGAGGAGTTTCCCTTCTTTTGTCACGCCGACCTTCCAATGACAGAGGAATGGGTGGCGCTGCCCAGAGGTGACAATATCTTCATCCCGATTCAACATGCATCTCACGGGTCGTTTCGTCTTTGCGGCCGCTGTGGCACAAATACCTGCTAATTGAACCGACCGCGTCTCTTTGCCACCAAAGCCGCCACCAAGTCGTTTAACTCGTGATACAACCTTGTTGGCTGCCACTCCAGTGACCTGAGCAACATATGTTTGGCTATTCGGGGGTTAGCTTGCATGAAGGGGAATGCAGCAAAGGGATGAAACTCACGTCTCTGTGGGATTCTGAGTACTACTCCAGATCTCCATTTCCCCATCCTCTGGTTTCGGAATGGCCACGCAAGCCTGAGTTTCCAGATAGAAATGCTCTTGGCCGCCCATTCTTGATACTCCATGGAATACGCGATCCGCTTCCTCGAAAGCTTTATCCGTGTCGCCACACTTGATAAAGCGGAAATGGTCAAAATATGATTCGGCCTCGATTGCCTCCTCAATCGTGAGGATTGCGGGCAGTTCTTCATACTCAACCTTCACAGCTCTCGAAGCCTCCTCGGCAATTTTAGCAGAGCTTGCAAGGATCATGCCAATGGGCTGGCCAGCAGTCATGACTTCATCCACCGCAAAGAATACTTCATCGCACTTTGGAGCACCCCACCAATTCGCTTTGGGGTTAGGAAGGTCCCTATGGTCCACATAGTCATAGACCTCAGGGATATCCAGTGCGGCTGTCGTGTCGACACTGACGATCTTCGCATGAGCCTTGGTCGAGAGGACCAGGCAACCGTACAGTTCATTCTTCTGCGCAGGAATATCGTCCGTATACTGCGCTTCTCCAGTGGCTTGTTTCAACGCAGACACGTGAGGCGTAGCTTTACCCAGAATCCTCTGCTGGTAGGCCTTCGAGGACTCGTGGTCTTTCTGTCCTGAGGAGATGGCTCTCTCAATTTCAGCAATGACATCTTCGTCAATATCTGTATCTTTGACCCCAATCTCAGAGAGTACATCGTGATAGAATCGGTAGAAGAATCCCAGGGCCAGAGACCTGCGGTAAGTTGCCATCCCACCAGGGACGCTGAACTTTAGGTCAAAGTCCCGTTCCAAAGCACTCATGGTCCCCTCGAGCGTGGCAGGATTCGTGAATTTCTTGCCAACCAAGAACGACTCTGCGTTGCGCGCGGATACCGTCATAGGTGCTAGGCCACCAAAAACGAGGTTCACGCTCATCACATCATTCGATGGAGAAAGTGACACACGCAGAGCAGCGTTGACGATGGCGATGTCATCATCCTTTCTCTTCGACTGTTTATAGGCCCGAAGGTATTCTCCCTGTTTGGACGAGATCGGAATACGCAAGCTCGCAATGACGGCATCTTCTGGAAGGGCAGTCAACCGGTAACCTTTGAAGAACTCGTTCATAGGGATCTCGATGTCCCCCCTCAGAGACTTGGCGATGAGAACAGTGTTCGTAGCGACAAACACTGGGTTTAAATCGGAGATGGGAGATGCCGTGGCCAGATTTCCAGCGGGAGACGCAACATTCCTGATCTGTCTTCCTGCGAAATACCGAAGTTGTTTCTTGATGGCCTTGAACGGCTGACCTTCTACCGGGCCGTACTTTTCAACCGCTTCGTCGCAAATCAACTCCAAGTCCGTGAGAGAGACATTGGCTCCGAGTTCAAGATGGTCGTTCTTGAGAGAGTACTGACGAAGTTCGGGAATGTCACCCACGTAGACTGACGCGTTGTATTTCATTGCCTTGAACTTCACTTCAATCTGAGTCTCCGTACTTCCACCGATGATTTTGGACGCAGGGTGTGCGCTTTTAATCTCCAATAGTTGCTGCAGAGTGACCGGCCTGTACCACTTCTTTTTCTTATTCCCGAAGACAACGGGTCGAAACTCGTGCTTCTGGAGAGCCGGCGGAAATATCAATTCCGTCCCAGGATCGTATTTGATAAATTCAGGGGGTGTAAACTTCGGAGAACTACTATCGTTGCTCTCCTCGTTCGACAACTGCTTGCAGCACCCTCCTGTACCATTCTGCTTTTCCATGCAGCAACCTGTTCCACCGTTGGCACTTGCTTTCCCACATACATTTGTTGCTGTGAAACTGTGGGCGGCGTCCAGAATCGGTCTGTACCCGGTACAACGACAAAGGTTCCCGTCAAAAGCTTCTTCTACCGCATGTTGCGAGGGCTCGGGGGTATTGCGAACGAGTGCATAAAGGCTCTAGACGAACGATCAATCAGCTCAGCCTAATCGACAGAGTATTGTGGTGTACGAAGATCATACCATGACGATTCCAGGTGTACAAAAACCACATTGACTGCCATTTTCAGTCGCCAGCCGCTCCTGCACCGCGTGGGGCTTCTTCACATTCCCAATGCCTTCAACCGTTATGACATGTTTCCCGTCCACACTTATCACCGGTGCCAGGCAAGCATTGACAGATGCGTGGTAGATCTTCTTGGTTGTCGGATTGAGGTGGGACACGACCTGTAAGGAGTAAGAATTTCTGTCGCAAAGACAAACTCATCGTCCTGACTTACAACTGTGCAGGCACCGCAGCCTCCCTCTGCACAACCCAGCTTCGTTCCCGTCAGCCCTATTCCTCTTAAGTATTCTAACAGAGTGAGCTCTGGATCGACATTGTCGAGAATGACTTTTGTGCCATTGAGGTAGAAACGAATAGTGTCATCCCAGTCCTCGGTCAACTGGGCCAGGGAAATAGCCTTGGAAGGCAGCTCCTCCACCTCCGGCGACGTCAAGATTCCAGGAGCCATTGGAGACGAAAACGAGGCTCAAAGTGTGTTTTCCTATCCGTAATGCTGTCAGGGAGAGCTCTCCCAGCTCAGGCGATAGCTTCGTTTGTCTAGAGTCAAACGGAGAAGCTGGTATGCATGAGTCCAGCTCGCGATAGAAGAGACGGATCAACAATCAGAGAGATCCGGATTATGAGCAATGCTAAAGATATTTGTGATGACAACTCAAGCAGCAGCAGATGAATCCATCTCCTAAAGTGATATTGAAAAGATATGTGCGCAGTGTTTCAGAACTGTGATGCACAGACTAGTCAAATAGTTTATCGCCTCTTATCACA